GGATAAGTGCATCAGTGACAAGTGTATAAGATGTATAAAGTCAGCTTATGAGTTTGAAATGAAGTGATAATATTGCACATAAACAAGAGTATGGTTATGATAAGGGTTTGCAGTTAAGATGGAAAGAGTTAGCATTGGCTAACTAGAGTATATGATAAAAATGTACTGGAATTATAAGATTATAAGATATTGTCAGGATATGATAACCAGATCTGCAATGGATCTGGATATAGTTGCATATTTGGATCATAGTAATGTGGTATAGTAAAGGAAAAGGAAGTAAGAATTTGTATATTTAAGTAAAGCTGAGGATGGATAAGAAGAGTTTGAGAATGTGTATATCGATGATCAGATTATAGGACACATGAAGTCAGAATGTTGAGTTTGAGTAAAAGAAATTTCAGGATGTATGAAATAGAGGTGAAATTGATAAGTTGAGTAAGCGAATGTTGAGATAATTTAGATTGGAAAGGATGTATATGATTGGTATAATAGGGCTTGTGCCTTAGATTGAACAAAAGTTATTAGTTAGTTGTCAGAGTAAAGGTGCTAGAGTTATAAGATTGGAGGAAAGATAAAGTGGAGTTAATTGATTATGATGTGAATTTGAATATAGTTGTATGTTCTGAGCAGATAGCTATGATGAAGACACTGAGATAAGTATTTGCATGGAACCTTCAGGAAGGAAAAATACAAGTATAAGAAATGATAAAGAATGAAGTTATGTATAAGAAATGGGTTATCAGAGTAATGAGGATGCAATGAAGATTGGTACATAAAGATGAGTATAAGTGATAAGACAAGAGTATGGGAACATGAAATGAAATATATGATTTATGTATAAGGAAGAAGGAATAAAGAAATGAAAAGGATTGATTTAAAGGATCAGATACGATAAATATGGAAGTACAGAAGACAATTTTGATATAGAAATAAGACAAGTGTGCAAGGTGATGTGAAAATATTGTTTGACTCCTTAAAGTATATGTTTAATGACATTGAAGAAGATTTAGAGTTGTGTTTTGGTCAAATGATGACGAAATATAAGTTTGGTATGGTTATAAGGTAATTAGAGAGTTATGAAGAAATAGATGGATTTTATGATATAGAGATGTATGTTACTGTCAACGTGATGAGTGACATTATATTGAATTTTAGAAAGGTCAAAGGAAAGATGCATAATCGAATAAGAGAAAAGACAACAATGGATTAGTATTACTGGTTATTGTTTATATGATAAGCAACAGAGGATGAATGTATAAACGAAAAAGATAGTCGGAAAACTTAAGGATTGAAAAGTAAGTTTCTGATGATGACAAGAAAGAATAAGTCAGGGAAGCAACATAAGAACATTAGAAGATATGTTCTTATTAAGATGTGCAGTGAAAATTCGAGGACGAATTTTCTTATAAGGAGGGGAGATTTGTAACATCCTCAATACCGGGTTAGTGACCAAATTGTAAAGTTTCAGAATTTGGTGACTAAAGTATAAGAATGAAATAGTTCAATGATTATTGGATATATATATTGAAGGTTATTTAGTAATTATTAAAGGAAATTAAGGGTATTATGGTATTTTCCTTTAAAAGATATTCTTCCCCCTTTTATAAGAGTGAAAAACATGGGAAGAGAGCTATCTGGAAGCTTTCTTCTTCTTGCTTTCTCTTCTTCACGTGGGGCTAGCTACAAAAGGTAAGTTTAATTTCAGTTGGTTAATTCTTGAGTTTTAAGTTTGGTTTTGATTCTTTGGGTATTAAATAAGCTTAAGGAAAGCTTATATGTGATTTAAACAATAAGATAAAGGAATTATGAAGGAATTTGCAATATGAGTTTTAAGATGAAATTTTGATATGGTATGGTTGTTGAAGTTTTATGGATGAATTTGACTTGTCATCAATCTAATTAAGAAGTATGAAGTGTTAGAATTGGAATTAGAACACATTGAAAATTTGGTATGATTTTTGAATCCCATATGGAAGATAGGATTTTGAGGTTTAAGATGAAATAAATGAATATAGATTGGTTTAAGTATGTGTACTAGAGTTAAGAATGAAAAGGGGATAATATATGAAGTGTTTGAGAGGAAATGAAGTAATTTTCGGGTTGAAAATATGATTTCTGGGCAAGGGGAATCGGTTCCCATTCAAGGGGAACCGATACCCCTTCAAACGAACAACATTTCCAGAATGTCATTAGGGAATCGATACCCCCATAGTAGGGAACCGATTCCCCCTAAAGGAAAATGGGAATATTGGTTTAATAAGTTCGTTTAAGTTGCTAGTATCTAATTAAAAGGTGTAGGTATCTAATGATTGCCTCAAAATGTACATTTATGTAGATTCTGCGCGTAAAGCAGTTCCGGAATCATTGACAAATAAGATCGATCAAGGGGAAAGATAAGAGATTGGAATTTGACTAGTGAGGCCAGGTGAGTGCATATTCAATAGTATATGATGTGCGATGGGAATAAGACTTGCGATGAGTCTATTTCCTGAAGTGTTACACATGAATTCATGATTAAAGGCATGAGTTGAATATGCATGTATGTATGCTTGATTATATGGATTGATTTGTTCTTTTATGTGTTAGGTGATAAAGTATAAGTGATTATATAATAAAGGTTATGAATTATATGAGATATAAACTATGTGATCATAGTAAAATATAATTATTATTAAATGATAAGTGAAATAAGCTAGATAATATTGATCTATAGGATAATGTGAGAATAGTACACTAACTAGGAGATTTGAACATAAATGATAATATGAGCATATAGATAAGCTAGATGGGAAAGATTCATATGTTTAATAAAACTATAACACATGGGTTATATGATAGAAATTTATGAAGCTATATGAGAAGATTATAAGAGTTATATGAAATTGAATTAAGTAAACAGATTAGATTATATATATAAAGAAATAATAGAAGTGAGATGTGTTTATAAGTCTGACATAGATGAATATGAATATGAATTATAAGAGTGCTATATGATTTATATTAGGATAAATCTTGAGAATATATATATATATATAGATATGAAATGAAATGAGTTATATGAATACATAATTATGTGATGAAATGGTGGATTACCTGAACATGTGAATATATATATATATGTCTAAGAGAAGGCATAAGATTAAGATATAAGCAATGTGACTATAAGTATATGTGCTCTAAGTGATATGACTTATAGGTATTTCTATTATAATGTTACATGATATGTTATGTATGTTAAATGAATTATGTGAGGGTATAAGAAATGATATGAAATATATATGTGAAAACAAGTATATGTTATGAGATAAGACCTATGACTATAAGCTACGTGAAGGTGTTCTAGGTGTTTCTATATGTTATATGAAGTATATGATCTTATGTGAACAAGATATGATAAGTATGTTTACATGAATAAATGTGATTGGGTGAGAAATGATAGAAATTATATGATAACATGATATATGTGACATGTGAATTATATGGAAATGATCTACGTGTAAGTGAACTACGTGACTATGTGATAATATGAAAAGAAGCTATGTGATACGTGATATGTGATACGTGAATTACAAGTTTATGTGAATATTTGAAATGAAATAAATAATAACGCCCATGTTATGTGTCATGAGAGCTAGGGGTATAGTTGGCATGCCAAGAGTCGAGGGTCTACGCGGTCCTTCGGGACATATGTATATTCTTTGGAACATGTGTGAAGTCTTGAAAGACATATACTTGATCCCTAGTATATGTATATGATTCTTAAGGAATAATATGTGGTCCTTATGGACATCATTATATGGCACTACGGTGCAATTCTACGCAGTCCTTCGGGATATATATATATTCTGTGGAACATGTGTGAAGTCTTGAAAGACACATACTTGATCCCTAGTATATGTATATGATTCTTAAGGAATAATATGTGGTCCTTATGGACATTTTTATATGGCACTACGGCGCAATTCTACGCGGCACTTCGGTGCAATTATACGAGATGTGGTGACAGCATTAGTGCACAACCTCTATAGACTCACATATCGATAGTTCTCACATATGTACATGGGCTAATCCAGAGACATGAACAAATATATGTTAGTGGTATGATAAATGTTATAGAAATGATATGATGTTGTGTGTGTATAGTGTTTGATTGAAAAGGTTAACCATAAAAGTATGTGATTACATGATAAACTGTTAATGATGAATTATGTGTATGTATGAATTTACTGCAATTGATCTGATATGATTTTATATGATACGAAGAATGCATGGAATTGATATAACATGATAGAACAGAACATGCATGTATTGATATATGTTATAAAGTGCATTATAAGTTGTTATGCCTCACTAAGTCTTCGACTTAGCGTGTGATTGTTTCATACGTAGGTTTCGAGAAGAGTAAAGAGTAATGCGGAGCAAGACAGGTCAGTTTTCCTTACCAAATGTCAGATCAGAAAATATAGGTATTGTATATAGAGTGTAGTTGGCATGTAGTCTAAAGACATAAATTGTATGAACTCTGATATATATTTTGTAAACGTTTTGAATAAGTTAAATGTTATCAAAGTTTTTAAATTACTAACTATTTTATATGAATAAATGTTTGAAAAGTCAATGTGACACTTCGGACTCGTATCCGGATCGGATACGGGTTGAGGGTGTTACAATAATTCTTTAATTTACCAATAAAAAATTAACCTCTTGAGAGAAATAATCGATCCCTTAACTACTTGAATGAAATTCATAATATAAATCACATAAATTGATTAATAAATAATAAAATTACATAAAGGCATCACAATAAAAAATGAATTAGTAACTAATAAAATTCCTAGTACATTAATTTTTATTTATTACATGAAAATTATTATTGAAATTACAATAAACGTTACCCCTTGCAATTTATTTTGGTAAGACCAGACACTGGCATTTTATATTTTATATATAGAACGTTAAGAAATCACTACAAACAAGAATCTGTCCATGAACACAATATGTCAACCTTTAAGATCACTAAAAAGCACCATAAACATCTAAACAATCCTTTCCCTTCCACCCCAAGATCTATCCCCTTCATTCAAGGTAATCTCTTCACCACTTCCCAGACACTGCCTCCCAACCAAAGTTTCCAAGTTGGGAAGGATTTTCAGCTTCTTTGGAGCACCGAAAATGGTGGATGTCTCTCAATTTCTCACCTTTCTCAGCCTTCAAAGTCATTATGGTCCACCATCCCTGGAGAGGCATTTATATCTGCAGCCGTGGCTGAGACCGAGGTGGAAGAAAGCAGGGGTTCTTTTGCTATCAAAAGCAGATATATTCAACTGGTCTGCCATCACCAGAGTATTGAAGATATAATTTTTATCAATCGATTTTTCGATGAACATCATGGCTTTCTGCCTGATTATTTGGATTTGGATCATCTCGAAAGAAACCCCAAGTTCGCAGATTGCCCTGTTTTGGTTATAACAGGTCACATTTTCAGCAGAAGGAAAATGAAAGGGCCTCGAAGTTGCATAAAATCCGAGGCAAAGATATCTTCTGCTTCAGCTAGGTATTGGGTATTGTTTGATCAGAAGGAAAATAACCAAATTGGATTCCAAGTGAAAATTGGACAACCTAAATTTCAGCTTCATCGCCACAAAGCTTCACCTTCAACAGCATCGGAAAGTTACCGCCGCTTAAGGAGGAAACTAAGACGGCGCCGAAAATGGAATGTGGGATGGTGCTGGTTCCTTTCAAGGAAAAAAGGGTTGACCGCAAATTCTTCATCAGAGGAGGAACTAGGAGAATCGAATGTCGCGGAAACTATAACAGAGTTCAACAGGGTTTGTTTAACCTATGCAAGTGAAGAAAATGAGATATTTTTTGGTTTTGGAGAGCAGTTTTCTCACATGAATTTTAAGGGTAGAAGGGTGCCCATTTTTGTTCAAGAACAAGGCATTGGAAGAGGAGATCAACCTATTACTTTTGCTGCCAACTTGGTTAGCTACAGGTAAGGTTACTTTGCAATATCGTTAGAGGTTTAGGCTGCTTAAGCGTGAATTTGATGGCTTTGAAGTTTGATCACAAGACGAAATTTCGTTGTTGCAGAGCTGGGGGAGACTGGAGTACTACTTATGCTCCTTCCCCCTTCTATATGACATCCAAGATGAGGTCTCTTTACTTGGAAGGATACAACTATTCCATATTTGATCTGACTCGATATGATAGGGTCCAAGTACAGGTATTTTTAGATACAGGTCGCATAAAACTGAATTTCAGATTTAAAACAAATCATAAGACTACTGAATTTGGTTATGAAACAAGTGATGCAAAGTTGTATCTTTTTTATATCCTAGAGTTATTAATTGTAGTCCGTTGAAACATATGTATACTTAAGATTAATGAATGTCATAAAGCTCGTAAGGAACTAGGTTGTTTGAGGCTCAATCAGATTTAAAACTTGCAGTTTCTTATTTTTTGTATGCTGGAGCTTGCAGATACATGGAAAAGCAATGCAAGGGAGGATACTGCATGGAAACTCACCTTTGGAGATCATTGAACACTTCACGGAAACCATTGGGAGGCCTCCTGAGCTCCCTGAATGGGTAATATCAGGAGCAGTGGTTGGCATGCAAGGGGGCACGGAAACTGTACGCTCTGTTTGGGATAAATTGAAAACCTATAAGGTTCCCATTTCCGCATTTTGGTTGCAGGTTTGCTCAATACTGAAACTGATAGAAATCAACAAGTTTGTGTTTTAGTTTCAGAAAAACTTGAAACATAGTAAAGCTAGTTTTGTTTTGTTGATAAGTTTAGAGGAGTTGGGCTGCAACTTGTGATCTATCAGCTAGTATGAGATGTTTCAAAATAAATTTTAGTATGTTTAAGCAAACATAATAAACTAAGAAATCCAGATACAAGTTTTCTGTCACTTTGATGTTGAAGCCATTATGATGTAGGATTGGGTGGGGCAAAGGGAAACATTGATTGGATCACAACTATGGTGGAACTGGGAAGTTGACGTAACAAGATACCCCGAATGGCAACAGCTGGTTAAAGATCTTGGCACAAACTACATTAAAGTGATGACATACTGCAACCCTTGTTTGGCACTGGTACTTTTCTTCCTGTGCTGCTGCTTCTTTGATGTCTTGTTAGATCCATAGCAATGAACAAGCTAAATATATGCACTTGTCTAACCAATATAGGGTGTTGCAATTATTTCTCTTTACCCAGTTATTGAAGATATTTCATTTTGAGTACAGGTTTTCCAAACAATCTTTTATGAACCACTGCACTTTAGTTTGATAATGATGTAAGCTTGAACCCTTATTGGAATTTCAACTTCTCTTTTACAGGTGGATGAGAAGCCTAACAAAAGGAGAAATCTCTTCGAGGAAGCAAAAGAGCTGGACATATTGGTGAAAGATAAGCATGGAGAACTATACATGGTTCCAAATACAGCATTTGATGTGGGAATGTTAGATTTGACACACCCACTGACAGCAAGTTGGTTTAAGCAGATTTTACAGGAAATGGTGGTTGATGGCGTGAGAGGTTGGATGGCTGATTTTGGTGAAGGTCTGCCTGTGGATGCTGTGCTCTATTCAGGTTCATATGTGAACCATACATTTACTGATGCACTATTAATGTTCTCTCATTTTGCTGGCACTGGTTTCAATCATCTCCAAACTAGTTTGCCATCTCATAACTAAACTACAATATTTCAAGATTTCAATCGGCTATCATTCCCATGCTGTCTTCCAGAAATGCTTAGATCATTTAACATGTTATTTTCTGAATTTATTACCCTAGTAAATTTCCCTTCAATTCTAGTAACAAGCATAGTAAATAGTCCTTTTGCGAAGTGTGTTATAGCCATTCTGTGGTTCAACATCCTCAAATTAATTGCAGCCTTTCTTGCCACGTGCAGTAAACTAGAGAGTTTCTTGGTAGGAGACTATTTGTATAATCTCCTTTGCAGATCAAATGATTACATGATAATTATTTTCCTGTTTCTTAGCCCCCCTCGTCTCCTTTATGCCTACTGTTTTTCTGTTAAACTATATCAATGAATATATACTCATCGTTTCAGGTGAAGATCCTATTTCTGCCCATAACAAATACCCAGAACTATGGGCTCAAATAAATCGCGAATTTGTGGAAGAATGGAAAAATAATCATGCGGGAAAGGAGAGAGAAGATCTAGGAGACTTGGTCTTCTTCATGAGGGCTGGTTTCAGGGATAGTCCTAGATGGGGGATGCTGTTTTGGGAAGGGGACCAAATGGTAAGCTGGCAAGTTAATGATGGGATAAAAAGTTCTGTCGTTGCCTTATTGAGCAGTGGACTTTCGGGTTTTGCTTTTAACCATAGTGATATTGGAGGCTACTGTACCATAAACTTACCTGTTATTAAGTACTGTCGAAGTGAAGAGTTGCTTTTGAGATGGATGGAGCTCAACGCGTTCACCATAGTTTTCCGGACTCATGAGGCAAGTCAAAGTCCTTCATTCCGAAAGATCCTAACAATCAAACATACAGTTACTTTCGATATCATCATTTTAGTTTGGTTAAAATTAGACGAGAACACTCCTCAAACATCAACAAAAGCTTTTAATTGTTACCTAGAACACAAGTTACTGCACTAATTTTAGGTTTAATGTTAAGTATGTCCCTAACATAATTCAGGAGCTTTATAGAAACATGATACGCAGGTTTAGGCATAGTGAAGTATGTTTTCAAGATTACGAGATATTGAAAGAAGGAATCATAGATTTGGTCATAGGAAGCCGAAATCACCAGATTCTTTACAAAATTGAATTCTTTTAAAGATAACTATATTTGGTACTGTGGTGTGATATTGTTACTAATATCAATGTTTCGTCTGGCAGGGAAACAAGCCTCGGTGCAACAGCCAGTTTTACTCTAATGAAAAAACTCTATCCCATTTTGCACGCTTTGCTAAAGTTTACAAAGCATGGAAGTTCTACAGAGTCCAACTCGTAAAGGTAATGCGAGAAACATGCAGTTACATATGCAACGATAATTCAAGCAACATATTTCTAATGATCTGACAAACTTGATGGGTTTTTTTTTACACAAAACAAACAGGAAGCAGCTCAAAAGGGATTACCTGTCTGTCGTCACCTGTTTCTTCACTACCCGGACGATGAGCGGGTTCAAAGCTTGAGTTACCAGCAGTTCTTGGTAGGCAGTGAGATCCTAGTAGTTCCTGTCCTTTACAAAGGGAAGAAAAATGTAAAAGCTTATTTCCCAGTTGGAGAAACTTGTGCTTGGAAACACATTTGGACTGGAAAGTTATACCAAAAACATGGTTCTGAAGCTCGGATTGAAGCTCCATTTGGTTATCCAGCTGTGTTTGTTAAGGTTGGTTCCACAGTTGGAGAAACCTTTTTGACAAACTTGAGAAATCTTGAAATTTTATAAGCAAACTATATTGTTGAAGGTAGCATAGTTTCTACTCATATATGTGTGTGTCATGCAGACATAGTTATAAATAATAAAACAATAACCATTATCCGTTTCATATTTGGGTACAAATATATTCCTATTATATCGTGATTGTAATTGTTCATATTTGGGTCCAGATATAATCCTATTATATTCCTTGACTTCCATCCCCAAGGGAGCTTGCACAATGAAAGTGTATGTCACATTTGGGAGTCCAACATTTGTAACACTTCTTTTAATATTTCGATAACCTTCAATTTTGGTTAGTCTGCTTATGAAGATTGATGGATAATTGATGCCGGAAATGAAATTGCTGGAGGATTTTCTCGGGCATTTGAAGTTTGTCTTCTACATGGATCGAATGGGGGATCCGTTGTAACAAGGCAATCTAAGATAATCTTTGCTTGTTGTTTCGAAGACTAGTCCTGGATTAAGGGCTTTGAGTGGGCTGATTTCTCCGGCTCCCGTCTCGTGAGATGGCAAAGGATCCCAAACTGTCCATCAATGTTTTCTCCATGTTATCATACACCGTTGATGCATTAGGTAAAAGGAAGGGCCAACATTAGTCCAAATCATGGATTTCATTTACTGATAAAGTTGGTAACTTTACCGGTTGTCATGAGTGCCGATCTGATCATGGAAGCAGTCCATTTAGGATGGACAGACATTACGATGCAGAAGCCCCTGTTACATGTGGACAGGCCATCGATGTTCCGGATTTTATGGCATATCCGGGCGGCTTCTTACAAATCGAGGTACTCCCTTCTTCAACTTTTGGAATCACCGCAGCTAAAATGGCCACCCCTGGAGCCATTATATCAGGCTAAAGGAAGGGAAAGTAAAATACCAGTAAGTTTGTAGGTATTTGTGTGATGGAGAAATATATTACCTTGAGAATGTTCTGTTAGCAGGTTGGGACCTCTTGATGAAAAATATGCCATCACTGGTTCTGGTTTATGCCTTGGAATTTCATCTGTAGGAAGGATAGTCGCAATTGGATTCCTATCACAACATAAACGGAAAACTTAAATCATATCGAAACTGACAGTGTATAAGTTTATGCACTGTTTACTATCTGTGTAGATTTGTATACGGGAAGTACATCAAATACAAACTCGAAAAATAATAAATATGTATATATAGGTAGGTGGTCTTACTTGTTAGAGTTGAAGTACTTGATCCTATGGTACTTCCAACTTCGGCAAATGGAAATGGTCCAGAATCAAAAGGAGCACTTCTATCATTTTCATCGATCAAAATCAATCCCTTGGATCCAGCATCTTCGGCTACTAATTTCTTGGTTTCCCTTGATACCACTGGGAAACTGTCCAAACAAACAATCACTTCTCCTTTCACCTTTGCTGGATCTAAGGATCCGGGATAGCAACTCCTGCAATTAGCACTCAACAGGATTCATTACAACAATGGCTACAAATTAAACATACCGAGTCAACAATGTGTTGATCATTTTATTTTCATTGAAGTACCTTGCTCCTGATATTGAACTGTATTTAGCAGCAATGTCTTTTCCATATGCTAGAGGATAGGTCTCCGTCCGAGGGAGGTTTGAGAAGTTGATGGCAGATCCCTTCCAGCACAACGTCATGAAAATCAAGTCTTACCGTGTACAAGTGTTCATGGCACTAAATTTTGAGGGGTCAATTATAAAATTGTAAAAAAAAAATCAACATTTTTAAGAGCCAAGGTAAATTTCTAGCTTTTTGGGGTCTAAAGGGAAATTTTTTTAAAATTCAAAGGATCATATAGTATTTTTTTTCAAATTTTAGGGGGCCAAGGCCGGCTCCTTCTAATCTCGAATACAAATCCAATTTCCTGAATTTTGTTCAAATATTTCAGATTTTTTGTTTCGTTTCCAAGTTGATGGATATGTCAGCTGATGATATCATTAGAATTTAGAAATTGACAAATTGTTGATATAAAATGCCAGAGCTTTCATTCGGCATTATTCAATCAATCAAAGACTCCAGGTTCTTTGAACTCTCAGTCAGACCAGGAAGCAACGTGGTACAACAGTTGGTATAGAAAACATAACATGCCTGAAGAAATCTTCTTTCCTCAAGCCACTGATTTTATTGGCATAACTTGTTATTTGCCATCTTTTCCACTCATTTGCAACCAAAATCTCTTAGATAACAATTCCCATGACGGGGTGATTTGCTTGACTATCTATACAAACCAAAATCTAGTGTTGGATGATTATTATCATTACTATACATAGGATGGGAGTATGATCAATTACATTACACCAATTGAAGTGTTTAAACATTTATACAAGCAAAAGCAAAAGGTAATTGGATCAAACAACCCAAAAGAAACTATCATCGTCCTGCTTTTGGTCTACAGTTTGAAATATTTATCCTATGTTATATAATAGCGTTCGTAATAAAGAGTGCAGAGGAATGGTCCAGCACTAACTACAACCTAGAGCCTCAAGTAATAGAGTTGAGAAACAATAGAAATCATTCACCAACCCGTGTTACTCATAACAGAAGGCAATTGCAATAGTCAATGCTTCCATGCTGCATAATAAATTGTTGACTGTCGACAGCTTACCAAAGCTGATTTCTTTTGGGGATTATATTTATTTATGTACGGATTTGGTTTCCTTAGATAGGCTGATTTTAATTGTATTTCTTATCATTCTTAATTTCAAGTATGATATGAGATTGATTGTTTGGTCTGAGGTGGAGGAGGGTAGATAAAAGCGAATTCTGATGGGGCAAGAAATGCAGTGACGGGAGTAGCTTATGTCAGGGAGTTCTTCGTGACTCTAATGGTGATTGGTGCTATGGACGTATGATTGGTTGCTGTTTATTTTTTGAAGCAGATTTGTGGACGGTGAGTGTAAAGCCCGCAATATAGATGCCCGTAATGTAATTTTGGAGCTTGGTAATCTTGCGGTAGTACGTGTTCTTAGAAACATAGTCTTGGAGCACAGTAGTTAGGGTGTTATGCGCTCTTTGAAGATGCTACCACAAAAGCTGCGAAATGAACGAGTACAACATGCCAACCGAGAAGGGAATGTTGTGGCTGATCGAATGGCAACGTTAGCTGCAAGTTATGTTGTTGATTGCACTAGCTTTACCAACCCTCCAAGGCCGATTCTTAAGTTACTTGATAATGATATAAAGTGGTTGGGTAGCTCCCGACTTGTTAGGTTGTAATTCTATTATTTTTATATATAAAAAGTACGAGTTGATCATTCTTTTTTTCCCTATTTAGTTTCTTTAAATTACAATATAAATAAATATAATACAACATATTCTATTTATAAGTTCAATGAGAAAGTACAAGTAGTAATGAAATGCATAATGCAATTTCATTTCCCATGACATGAAAAATGAAATGAGTGGAGAAGAATGAGCCATTGCTAAATTTTTCTTCTTTTTTCCCCGTCATTGTGGGCATGTGGCGACATCAATTTTATGCTGATCATCTACCATTGACCCATCACCTTCCTTTTTGTCTCCCCTTTTTCTTCTCCACAGGTTTTCTTTCCTTTTATTGGCACTGTCTCCTGTTTCCTTTGTTTTTTGCGGTTATCTCCCATCTGATCGATGGGGGCTGTTCTCCCCAACAATCATGGTCCAATCTCGGGTTTTGATCTCGAATGGAGAAGAATGTGCTCCTCCGTCGACGAAAAGCTTGTGGATAATTAAGCAACAACGAGAAGTTAGTACATGAAATTATTAGGAAGTTTGTGGATAAGCAATATCTCTACTCTATGATTTAGTGTAATGAAAAATATATCGATCCTCTTAAAATTTTCAAATTCTCATGTATTTTAGATATATCATTTTTATTTTCTATCGAGAATTTATTCTAAAAAGGGGTACCGTGCTGCCAGGTGATGGATCAGTGAAAAATACGGAACTGATATCATTTAAGAATGGAGGTTTTAGAATCTTTGAAGCTTGGGAGTGCACTAGACTGGAAACTAGTGAGCGCGAGTGGTGCAAGCTGGTCTGGCTCAAATATTGCGAGAGGATTATTATTGAAAAGGGAACACATAGCATTTCGTGGGAATTTTGTTGTATAAGAACACCACAAGTTAAGATCTAATAAAATGAACTTTGCTTTAACCATTTTTATTATTCTATTTCAGGATGTTTTAAGACTTTGTTATATCCAGGAAGCATAAAAGAATTTCTTTGAACAAAGTGTTTCACACCACTAAGTCTATTTACTGCAAAACATGTTTTTTATTTTTTCATAACAGTACCATTCAGCCATATAAATCAATCCATTACCATCCTGCTTTAATATCAGCTGTGGTTCCTAAGCAATATTCTAAGCGGTTTATATTCAAAGCTTTTGCAGAAGATAGCTGCTTAGGTTGTTTCAGCTTTACACGAGTCTTCCATGAAGTTACTGGTAGAGGGGTACGAGCTTTTATATGTTTTAAGGCATTGTCCCAACCATCACAAAGATAAACTACGAATTTCATCACTCAACTTTAATATCAATCACATTTTTGGGCATTAAACTTTTAAGAAGTTCATTTTGATCACTTAACTTTAACATTGCTCATGTTTTGGTCACTCCACCGTTAAATCACAAATGGACTAAAATAGTACCCAATGCACAACATGATGATTATGTTTAAACATTATAATAAACCTTCTGTATTTTTCTTATATTTTTTCTTCACAAAGGAAAATCGACCGGGAATTAGAACCGAGTGGAAATAAAAACACAGATGATATTTATTCAGTTCTGCAAATTGATCATGTCCACCAATTCTTGCCATGCTAAGAGAAAAAAGAAGAAGAGAAAGAAAGGTATTTGCTTTACCTGAAACGGAAGACATGCCGATATTCGGAGACTCTGCCGGAGATAAAGCTAAGAAAAGGAGAATGGACATTAACAATACAGGAACCCAGAGAAATATCAATGGCGGCGGCGGCAATTCCGGCATCACCAACGGGAAAACTAAGATCAACGTCGTTAATACAACCATGAAAATGAACGATC